TTATTTACGTAATTCAGGCTTATAATGGCCCATATTATAAATACTTTACAGACTAACATACGTATGAAAGATATTAAATTTAGTATAAAAATAAATATAAATTGTCTGTGTGGTCACGGCACTGATGACGGCAATCTGCCACGATAACGCCGATACACCACACCCTATGGCCAGTAGTCCTCCTTCAAATTCAAAATATCTTTATTCATGTAGTCATTATATCAAAGATGTCAAATCTACCGTCAGTTCGGAATGATTTCGAGATGAGAAGAACTGTCAACAGACTCGGCACGTATTCTTTTCAAATTAATATTACACATGTTTACAATCAATTCAATTACTTCATGAAGGTCAGCATGTTGGTGGGTACTCGGGCCACTACCGCCTAGAAACTCGCGTTATAACTCGATGCCAGCTGCGTCACCCTCAATGTCAGGTTACTTTTGGTCCGTATGTAGTCGACAATGTCCTGCTCCATAGAGTAGAGTAGCCATAGCTCTTAGTGCCGTGAATGTCGCACTCTGTGTGATAGTAAAAATCTGTGTTTGTTGTGTTTTGTCAATTTATATTTATGACAATACCTACGGTAATGGTAACACTTTTAACAAACAGAAATAATCGTAGAGACTTTACTTTTACTGGGTTGGAGGTGTCCTTGAATTTCAAAACTCAATGTAAATCTACTCGTCGAACAGTCAACACCAATATATCCGAACTCAATTCACTGCCTAATGACTCCTCGCTTAAAGGCAAGACCTATAACAAACATAACAAAATGTTCTTATATGATTGTGATAGAAATAACCTTTTTACATATATGAAATTTTATATATTTTTTCTTTTTTTATATAAATCTGTTTTGTACTTTATACATATATGTGTTGTGAAATGTGTACCATATGTGTGTAGCAAGTGTGCAGATGCAAAAAAAGTAAATATCTATCTATCTATCTATAACAAATGCATACAGGTTGCCACTTTCCAGTAGGTGCATCACCAGTTTGTTAATCATTTGTCCATAAAAAATGAAGCATTACTATGTCTGTACCTATAATCCATATTTAGTATCAAACTGAATTATATCCAAAATTATATATTTTGGAAAAGGAACTCTGCATGTATAAGTTTAAAGTCTAATTACAAAAAATAGTATTATTAGAGTTAATACAGTATTGTATTAAGCGTTCAATATGACCAAGTAATGCAATATTAAATGATAACATATATATATATAATTATTATTAAGTCTTTACCCGTATTCCATACTTAGAGTCAGTCTATATTATATCATAGATTGCAAATTTTGAAAAAGCGTCTCTATATGTATACGTTTAAAATCTAATTTGGGGGAGAAGGGGATTGTTATCAATGTGGATTCATGACCCCATTACTAACAATGTACTATGTCAGTTCACGCGGTTCCCCCTGGAAACCAACGTGATAAATTCCTTGGTAAATTTGTCACGATGGGCTAACTGACCTGACCTCATGTTCATCTTATCATCCTCCACTGGAGCCCCGCCAGCGTAAACCGTTAGCGCAGGCAGGTGTCCTATTCCATTAACATCCATAATAAAAAATCTAATTTAATATCAAACTGCATTAACTCAAAAATAATAATTTTGGAAAAGCGACTCTGCATGTATAAGTTAAAGTCTAATTACAAAAAATGGTAATATTTCAGTTAATACAGTATTGTATGAAGCGTGCGATATGACCAAGTAATGCAATATTAAACGTCACGCTCATATTTTATTAATTGCACTGAGCTCGGAATTCCCTGTAGTTTAATTTCAGCTGCGCAGGTAAAATTAATTCTATTACTGTACCTATGCATTACTGGCAACACTGCTGCATAACCAACGCTGGAGTTATATTACATTACAGGCTAGCTCTTACCCCCAACTTTGTCCACATAGATTTTAACATTTTTTATAAAAAAAAATATATAAAAATTAGTCAATAGCAATATTAGCTTTTTCTAAAATAAAGGTAACCTAAGTTACTTTTTAATTTATTACGTATCTGCGAGTGAAAGTCCCGTCATAATCAGGCCAGCTGTTCCAGAGATTAGTAAGAACAAACAGACAGATAAAAGGAAAAAAATTAAATTATTCTCTGATGTGATACCGTATACCTGTATTGTATATCATATGCATTTAGTGAATATCTGTATTAATAATAGATATATATATATATAGTATAAAACAAAGTCACTGTCGCTGTCTGTCCGTCCCTATGTATGTTTAAATCTTTAAAACTATGTAACGGATTTTAAAGCGGTTTTTTTAACAGATAGAGTGATTCAGGAGGAAGGTTTATATATATAATACCGGGGAAGCCGGGGCGAGTATTTAATATTTATATAAAAGTAACCTATTATTTTTATACAACCCTCCATCGCTAGTGGTAGAAATTATACTAATATTTATTTTACTACTTCCCAAGTTTCCAAACATACGATGTTTTAATAAACTGATATGAATAAGCCGCTGGCGAAACCCACTATTTATATTCCATTTCGATGGCCTTATAACCGACAACGCAAAAGATAGTTATGTTAGCATAGGGTCAGTTGTAAAGGGATAAATTATAAAACTTAAACGTAAAAATCACAAAGTACAAATGTTTTCTTTACATTTAATACAATAATTGCCAATTTGTAGAGAAAATGTCACTACACATCCTATGTGGTTGTAGCCCACCCATGAATAAACGAAATATCTCCTTTGAAAAGTACACACTCTATCCTGAGGAGATAAAAACCATCGCTACTAAGAATATCCTTCAATTCTTGTTCCTCACAGGTTTACGCATCGAACTTCGAAATAGGGCGAGCACAGAGTCTAAAGCACTACTATCGCTACTAAGAATATCCTTCAATTCTTGTTCCTCACAGGTTTACGCTTCGAACTTCGAAATAGGGCGAGCACAGAGTCTAAAGCACTACTATCGCTACTAAGAATATCCTTCAATTCTTGTTCCTCACAGGTTTACGCATCGAACTTCGAAATAGGGCGAGCACAGAGTCTAAAGCACTACCATCGCTACTAAGAATATCCTTCAATTCTTGTTCCTCACAGGTTTACGCATCGAACTTCGAAATAGGGCGAGCACAGAGTCTAAAGCACATTGCAATAGCTAATTCCGCCAATAAAAAAATACAATAATTTCTTCATTTCATAAACATACAATAAAATCTTGGCGAGACGGAAACTGACGGTTTATCAGTTTGCCTGTTTGTGTGTTAAGAATGATATGTGAAAAAGAAAGTGGAAGAAGTACATTGTTCATTTCATTTGCCATTATAACATGTTGTTGTTAATGAGATCAATTTATAGGATGTTTCATTCTTAGTAAAATACACATCATAATAAAAAAGAAAAATCAGCCATTACATAGTATAAAACAAAGTCGTTGTCTGTCCGTCCCTATGTATGCTTCAATCTTTAAAACTACGCGGCGGATTTTGAAACGGTTCTTTTATAGATATAGTGATTCAAGAGGAAGATTTATATGTATAATACATGTACACCTGGGCAAAGCCGGGGTGGGTGGACTAGTTACTTTATAAGGGTGGTACTAGTTAAGCAAATGATAGTCACGACATTTGAGTGTATACTGATTTAATATTGATAACAACTTTTTTTTCTTCTTATTTTTAATTACAGCATCAACTACTTTTAATTAATTGTATTATTGTGTTATTTAATTTTGTTATTTGATTTTATCGTTATGGACACTACTAGTTTTAATTTAAATTTTGAAAGTTTCTTATTAAAATGATCATGTTAGCTCAGTTTGTATCATCATCATTGCCTTGCCTTTATCCCATTATTTGGGGTCGGCGCAGTATGTCATTCTCTTCCACTGCTCTCTATCAGTCGTCATATCTAAACATACTCTTCTTTTATTCATATCATCTTTCACACAATCCATCCATCTTTTCTTAGGGCGTCCCCTCCCTTTACATCCATCCACATTCATATTATACACTTTCCATAAGACATGGTCCTCATTCCTCCGCTAGTTTGTATGAGGGTTTCAAAAATTAATTTTAATTTCTTCGACATAAGATATATTAATATTAGTTTTATCTACTATTATATGGTAGGTATAATCTATACATATAAATAAAATTGTAGTGTCTGTTTGTAATATTGAAATAACCGTTTTTTACTACATGCATATGAATATAAATAAGGTACATACACTAAAATAACATTTTTTACCATTTTTGTCTGTCTGTCTGTTTGTTCCGGCTAATCTGAAATGGCTGGACCGATTTTGGCGGACATTGGCAGATAACTGATGTAATAAGGAGTAACTCAGGCTGCTTTTATTTTAGAAAATATATTTATTATTATTTATATTTATTTGGTACAGCTAGTCTGTTATAAAATTTTCCTATCAATCTAACCTACACTTGAAACCCGCCATAACCTAAAATACATCCTGATTATCTGGATGAATGGCGGTCCTCCACCGTTCGTTTTTCAGAAACTTTTTATCACGCACAACTACATTGTAGAAATATATAGCAATGGTATTTTCAAACCGATACTATATTGAAATCTTCAAGAAAGGAGCTTAATCTTTTCGATTTCGTTTGTTTGTCCCTTGTTGCGGGTGAATAATACGATGTTGCTGGTCGAGACGATGTATATTACAGATGATAATAAACTGACAATATGTACATAGAAATAATGATCTTATATACTAAATAACAATAGGAAAATGTAAGGTGGGTTGACACAGTTTAGACACAGCAGTGCTTAGTAGACAATATTAAATGCAATTATTATTTTGATGTATCTAGGTGACTGTGTCCCATATCCCTTATGTTAAAAAAAAAACTTCTTGCTCTTCGGTTAAGAAATTGCAATTCCGTCGGTTTACCCGATGCAAAAAGTATATAGCTATAACAAAATGTATAGCTATATACTTTTTGCTCTTCGTTTAATAAATGTAATGTAACATTTGTTTTTGGTTTGTTTCAGGACATCGACTATGAAGGGTTCCGTTGGTTTCTTGATACATTCCTCGAGGTCAGCACTCCAGATGAGCTGTCCAGGTCTGTGGCATTATCAATTATTAACAATAATACTACATGATGCAGCAACTATAACATACTATAAATAACCTAAAATTAAAAAAAAATTCCACTCGCTGGTGCCAAAAACAATGGGATCAAATTAAATGTTAATATTATTTAAAAAAAAAAAAGTTACTTACGAATCCATATTTACGACGGAGTCCTGGAATAACTAATAAAAATACATCTGAATATTAAAAAAATACATTCGAGTTAAGAAACTCCTCCTTTTTTGGAGGCGGTTAAGAAGGGTGTTTAATTCTACTCACAGATCACCTTATTTATATACTATCAACTATGCCCGCGGATTCACCCGCATTTAATTTATAACCTATATGTTATTCTGATGTATAAACTATATTACTGTACAGTTTTATTAAAATAGCTAGTAGTATTTGCGTGAAAGAGTAACAAACATCCATCCACACTCACAACCTTCCATGTTTATAATATTAGTAATATTTGTCTGTTTCCAGACATCTGTTCCTCTCGTTCGTGCGTCGTGACAAGCGGCCGGCGTTACGTGAAATGGCGGCGGCGAGTTCTGCGGCCGCCTGCGCCGCTGTCACCGCACATGCTGACCATCAGGTATGAACTATTGACGGTTTCAAAAAAGTTTGCGATTACAGTAATAAAAGCTTAAATTATAATAACAAACTGACTTTTATCTAGGTGCCGTTTGGTAAAAGTTAGTAATTCAGTCTGTGAGAATTGCGTAAGAACCAGAACCTTTTAATAAAGAGAGTTTTTATAAGACATTTGAATATTTGTCTTATAAAAACTTTCTTTGTTAAAAGGCTTATTATAAAATTGAAGAGTTTATAAATAATAATGTTGTTGTAAAGAAATCTAACTAAAAATTCATAGCACTGATACGATTATCTAATTGCACAAAGATTGAGTACGTAGCGGATTCTATGTTGATTGCCGCATGACTAATCCTTGTTGACGTGTATTTACTTAGAACAACATGTATTTAAAAGAGCAACACGCAAGTTTATTTCTCATTCTTCTTGTTTACGTTTCGAATGAATAAAAGTATCAAAACAATATAACTATTCAAAACTGCGGTATCAGATTGGCCGTATGCTTTTTTACCACCAAAGTAGTATAAAAAATGTTTATATTGAATTTATTTGAATAAAGATATATTTCCAGGGCAAGTTAAGTTTAGCATCCAAAATTCATGGCTTGGCTGAACGGTTACAGCAGCTCGGTCGAAGTTCAGGAGACTCGGTTGATGGTAGCGACAAAGGGTCCAGGAGTAGAACTGGTTAGTTTCTGTATTTTTTTTCTATTACTAATACTTAGTATATATAATACTATTATACGATTAGTAATAACAACCGTAAGAGAATCCGCAAACAAATACGAGATTTTTTTTGTCTTTGATACGAGAATATATTCACCCTTACATAAGTTTATATGAGATTTTGGTCTACAAAAAATTAAAGGTTAAAATACTATGATGTACGAAGATAGAGAACTAAGTCGGCGTAATGTACGAGGTTTAATATTTTTTTTACAAATACGAAATTTTTGGCCTTAGGTAGGGGACATTTTCACCCTCATTCAAGTTTTTATGATAATAATAATACTTACTTACTTAGGACAATTCACACAACACCATGTAGTCCCAAGTTAAGCACAGCTTCTGTTCTGAGTGACTACACAACTGACTGACTAACTATTTACAAAAAAATATCTGTGTTTGTAACAGATATTTTTTTGTAAATAACTATCTAAATATATATAACTTAAAACGCACAGCCCAAACCACTGGACGGATCGGGCTGAAATTTGGCATGCAGGTAGATGTAATGACGTAAGCATCCGCTAAGAAAGGATTTTGATTAATTCTACCCTCAAAGGGATAAAATATGGGATGAAAGTTTATATGAAACTTTGTCAATTTTAAACCGATCGGACTGAGACTTTGCATAAAGCTACTATGACGTAAACATGCTCTAAGAAAGAATTTTGATAAATTCTACCCCTAAGGGGATAAATTAACGCGAGCGAAGCCGCGGGCAAAAGCTAGTATAATATATGTACATAGTAAACACCTAGACCGATACAAACAATCATACTCATGAATACAAATGTTTGTACCGTGCGAGGAATCGGAAGTAAGGCGATGTGTGAAACCGCTGGACTATCGAGGCCTTCAAATTATTTATACATTCCTTAAAACGTTCTTTTATTACAGGGAGCGTGCACCCCATGTTCACAGTGACCACCCATCCATCTTATTCTTCGCATGAGTTGTGTCTGGACAGACGTACAGAAACGAGTCCTAGCCACAGTCAAATGTCGAGGAACTCTAGTAGGAAAAGCAGTAACTCGCTGCGAGTCAACCAGTCAACTAAAATAGAAGGTAATTGAGTGACTTTGTTAGCAATGTCGAACTCTAGTGTAAAATGAGGTGTATCCTCGCCATTGTTTCAAAAATATACTACAAAGTCAAAGAAATGATTCTTAGCAATATTTTATTAAAGTTTTTTTTGTAAATTAAAATCCATTTTTTAATTATCATTTCATGTAAAATGTTTATGCGCTAAATAAAATTAAATAGGTAGAATTTGTGCTAAGTCGTCTTCACGGTCATCTTCTGTTCTGTCCCATCACTTCAGCCGCCGAGCAACGTGCTGTTTCGGTTTGAGGGTGAGATAGCAGTAAAATGAATAAAATTACAGGGCACGCAAATATGACACCTTATTTCATCGGAATACCAACACCTTGAGCGTACCTTTCTGTGTCACTGTGACAATGTCCCAATTTGTCGGCCCGGGCCTCTTAATGTGTAGAATTGGAGGAACGGGATTGTTAGTTATCTAAACTGATGACCCTATTGCTAGGATTCTACCATTTCAGGTTGTACTCCACACGGTTCCCCCTAGAAACTATCGTGATAAATTCCTGGTGATTTTGTCATCCTGGTGAATTTGTCACGATGGGCTAACTGAGCTGACCTCATGCTCACCTTATCATCTGCCCACGTAAACCGCTAGCGCAGACGGGTGCACCATTCCATTATCATCCATTATTATGAAAATATGTGGATGGTCTCTTGTTTTGAAAATCAACTGGAGTCCGTAGACACGTCGTTGTGTAGTAGACTATAAATTTTGTGAGCAAGAGATAGATTTTGTGGAAAGCACTAACTTTGATATTGGATGACTGCCAGTTCGGCTCTAGGCAGACTTCCCAGAACTTTGGGCTAGTTCGAACCTTTTGCACCGGGTAAACTTACCACCTATACTGACGACAGGTGCTCTTCAGCAGATCACTCTCTTGCTTTTTTATTATTTAATCGTTCCCGAAAAATCTACAATAATCCACAATCAATCAATCTCCAACAATCGACAAATATTAAAATTACGAGAACGAAAAACGCGCCAACTTTACGGCCGACAAAATAACAACGAAGCACGAACAATTTTTTTCTTTTCTTTTCTTGTTTTCTTTTTAATAATTCTTTATTCATGACCATGGATACAAGTTTTTCAGTCGAACATATTTTTGTACACATAAAAACTTTTCTTTTCAGAGTGGAAGTGTTGCCAACTCATAAACCAAATAGTCTACGATTAAGAATGAATATCCGTATTGAATGGCAATTGTTTTTCAGATTTCAAGCACTTAATGCGGCGACCGTCTACACTAGAAGTTCACACAGCTCGGGTCTCTCTCAAGGACATAGTTTGCTATTTATCTCTACTGGAGGCTGGACGACCGGAAGACAAATTGGAATGTAAGCATTTGGAAGTTTTGACAGAAAATCTTACGCGAAAGTTTGTGATTATGGATGGATTACTTATTGTTTGTTGTTATTTCACGCAAAGACAGACTTTGATAATACTTTACACTAATATAGATTACACATCAGTACCTATGTGGTATATAGAGGCTATAATTTAAAAAGATAATACGTAACGGCCTCGGTGGTCTACCTCGCGACCATCGGAAGTAAAGCGGTGTGCTAAACTGCACGCCGCTTTACTTCCAATGGTCGCGGGTTCGATTCCTCACAATCCTTTATATTCATGAGTATGTTTGCTTATGGGTGTTTTCTAAATATATTATATAAGTATTTACAAAAAAATGTCATCTAAGTTGTCTAGTATCCATAACACAAGCTCTGCTTACCGTGGAATTAGATGGCAGTGTGTTAATTGTCCGAGATTATTAATGATTATTGATAAAAAAAACACCCAAACCGATGCAAACAGTCATACTAATGAATACAAATACTTGTACCTTGCGAGGAATCGAACCCGCGACCATTGGAATTATAGCGGTGTGCTAAACCGCGTGACCACTGAGGCCGTCAACTGTTAATGAGTAGTAGAACTAATATTCATTGTAATATTTCATTTGTACAGTTATGTTTCGCCTTTACGACACGGATGGTAACGGTGTATTGGACACGAACGAGATGGACTGCATAGTGAATCAAATGATGACGGTCGCTGAATATCTTGGATGGGAGACGTCGGAACTCAGGCCGGTAAGTGTTTAAAGGGGTGTGTTTACACGTCCCTTTAAGGTTTAGGTCTATGACCTACTTCGTCGAGAACCTGGGGACTTGTAATTAATACAGTCGTCATATAGAATTGAAGAGTATTTTTTTCCGGACAAAATTACCAACACTGTTGGCCGTGGCCTAAATCCAGAAAATTACCAACACGGCCAACAGCATTAGAGTAGTCCGGAATAACCAACACGGCTAACAGTGTTGGTAATTTTGTTCATTTGTAGTTAAATGCCTAAATCGGGAATTTTTTGCAACTTGTCATGAAGCAAAAAAAATTGCCTTGGTTGTTACGCGAGGTCCTGCAAGAGCGAGGCCCCGGGCGATTACCCTGTTCGCCAACCCCTAAGGCTAGAGGCCTTAGGGGTTGGTCTGCCTGCAAGAAACACTCGTTCACGAGTGAAACCATTTTAGTGAGCTACTCAAGACACTCGCCTACATTCTAATGCTGTTGGCCACAGCTGGCCTTTACAGCTTCACCGGACGATAGGGGGCGAGTACAGATGGCACTCCAAACACACGGACTTATGGAGCGGCTGAAAGTTAACTCCCGCCTGACGGATACGACTTTAGTCTGAGGGCATCGCTAGGGGTTCGAACCTCGGCTCGGCCGTTGTAATTTAAATCTCTGTTTGAATTGGAAGCAAGATCCATCGGGGGGGGATCTCAAAAGTGTAGAAGAATAGAAATTATTTATTTATGCATATAATAAAAATGTTATTGATTGTTATCTGTAGAGAGATATAAGAGAAAACATATTCTTTATTTGTCCTAGAATAGATAATAAGTTTCACTGTCTTCTGCAATTACGCGTACAAATATGATTGGACATATATAATATAAAATATTTATTTAATAATATTATTAAGGGACGTTGTAGTAGCACCAACGTAATAGCACTCAAAATACTATAGGATTACTGTATATTTGTCTGTGCGTTTGAGCGCTCTAATCTCAAAATTGGCTTAACTAATTACGGTGCAGTTTCTCTAATATATATATATATAAGCTCCACTTAAAATTTTCTGTTTGTATTATTCAAACGGGATTACAAATGATTAGTGTTTTATAAAGACCTATACTGTTTGATATTATTTACTAATATGGAATTTTTACCGTGAAAAAATATCCACAGATTCTGCAAGACATGATGGTGGAAATTGATTACGATGCAGACGGGACGGTGTCACTTGATGAGTGGAAAAGAGGAGGGTGAGTGGTCAATATATTATCTATATAATGTAACGTAGCGTAGTGACCTAGTGGTTTATTATACTAACGCGTCAAAAGGGTTCAAATTTAATAGACGCTAATAAAAACTTTTTCGTGTCCATTTATATTTCTTGCTGACTCTCCGTTGAAGAAAACACCGATAACAAAACCTAGTTTAAGGCTAGATTTTTAATTTATAACACGAAGGTGGTAATCGAGCATGATGTGGCCCATCTTATGGTAACCCCTGAAGAAGAAAGAAGTCTCTAAAGAAAATCTCTGCAGGTAGTTCAATTCCCAATCATGGAAACTAGAATTAGCTATATATCTAATACTAGCTGCTGGCCCCGGCTTCGCACGGGTGTACATGTATTATTTATATATATAAACCTTCCTCTTGAATCACTCTATCTATTAAAAAAACCGGTTCAAAATCCGTTTCATAGTTTTAAAGATTTAAACATATATTTATACTATGTAATGATTATTTTCTTTTACAGAATGACCACAATACCTCTGTTGGTCCTCTTGGGGTTGGACACTAACGTGAAAGAAGATGGCGAGCATGCATGGAGGTTGAAGCATTTCAGCAGACCAGCATACTGTAATCTGTGCTTGAACATGCTGGTCGGGTTGGGGAAAAAAGGACTCTGTTGTATATGTAAGTAGGGTCTACTTTTAATCTGCTCACTTACATTATTAACACTCGTTGATAATTAATTTTATATTATAAATATGGAAAAAGGACTCTGTTGTAGTTGAGTAGCATTTATTTTTCCTTGGTCGCACATTTTTTTAATAAACGCGTCGTTAATAATGAACCTAATATTATAAAGATGGAGAATAAAATTCTATTCTTTACGTAAATAGACTTTACTTTTACTTTAGGCACTAACGTCTTATATAATACAAGCTGTTGATAATGTCTGAATAATGTTATATATATAAAGTTTTACTTTTATTCTTATTTCTGAATTCGAGCTCGATTGCTGGACTGAGACTCTAGATTGTTCCAGAAACATCTGGAATGATCGAGACTTTTCGATTAGACACTGACTCACTACTTGTGTTTATATTTTAATTCAAGTATTTCAAAATATCGATCTCTCCGTGTTTTTAAATGTTGAATGCATTTTATCTTATTCGAGTAGGTGAATCCAACTAATCAAAAATCATTCAAATCGATCTAGCCGTTCTTGAATTATAAATGGTGTAACTAACCCGTGAGTTACTGTATAATACCATAAATACTATTGTATTGTTTTCCTAATCTAAACATATAAAAAAAATTGGAATGTCTGTTTGTAATATTAAAATAACCGTTTTTACTACATGCATATAAATACAAACACGGTACATACGCCAAAATAATCATTTTTTACAATTTTTGACTGTCTGTCTGTTTGTTCCGGCTCATCTTTGAAATGGCGGACCGATTTTGATAGGACTTTTATTGGCAGGTAGCTGATGTAATAAGGAGTAACTTAGGATACTTTTATTTTAGAAAAATAATGTTAAATTCCACGTGGATGAAGTCGCAGGTACAGCTAGTATATATATAAAGAAACTGCATTATGTCTTTTCCAGTTTGCAAGTTCACAGTTCATGAGCGCTGTGTACAGCGTGCCCCAGCATCCTGTATAGCGACATATTCCAAATCTAGGAGAGCATCGGCTACCCTCGCTCATCATTGGGTTGAAGGTATTGCCATACAATACACATATACCTATAATACATACATGTAATAAAAATGAATTGATCGCTGTCTGTTAATATAAAATATAAGTATGAAACAAACAAAATATAAGTATGAAAAAAAAAGATGAACTATTACAGAGGAAGTGTATGAACTTCGCGGTCACGGGTTCGATTCCTCGCACGGTACAAATATTTATATTTATGAATATGATTGTTTATATCGGTCTGGGTGTTGTCTAGGTTTAATATGTATTTATTTACATAAAGAAAGTATTCATGTATTTATATCAGTTGTTTAGTGCCAATAGCAAGAGCTTAAACTCCTCATCACATAACAACTTTTTAAAATTATTTTTACCTGATTTGTTTTGAAGGTAGGGCGTCCCCAGATACATCACTAAAGAGTCATGTTCAAAAATCACTTTGCATATTCTAGCAAAATAGTGCTAATTACTATATAATAGGGGCCCCATTGTCCTTGTGCCCAGAGCCTCTAATAGGTGATAGACGACCCTGATAATATTGCCTCTAACTAGCCCATCTGATATAAGAAGCATCAAGATTTATTTATTTATTTTTTATTTATTTATTTAATTAACACAATATAAACATACAACTAATGCCCAAGATATAATATTATATATTCCTTTCAGGCAACTGTCACGGTAAATGTGCGAGGTGTCGAAAAAAAATCAAGGGGTATAATGGTATAACAGGACTTCACTGTCGATGGTGCCACATCACGGTAAGCTTACCAATATCATTTTATGTACTTACTAATAATAATCGCGTTTGTTATGGTATAGGCATGTAATGCATCGAAATGAGGGGAATATTTCAAAGAAAGTACTACATACAAGCACATTTAAAAATAATAAGAGCTGACTTTCTTCTCAGTTCTTCTCGATGCGAAAGCACTCAGAACTGATGGTAGATTTGACATATCATTGTACCTACACTTGTAATATTTCTGTCAATACTCGAGACCCTATGAATTGCTATACTCTATAAACAGAGTCCATGTATGTATTGTTGTTTTATTATATGTAAATTTATTGTATATGCTTGTGCGATTATAAATAAATAAATAAATAAAACCCTTCTTCTTAATACTTCTTCAGAGAACATAGATTTAAGTTCAGTATAAAGTCAGTCCAGGTTAGGACTCCGCGTCGAATTTACGCGTTACTATTAAGCCATGTAACACACTATTAAATAAACGTACTAATGTACGACAAATACAGTAATCCTCCCTATAAACACGGTACTCTTATAATACACTTTCATGTTACGCGGATTCCAATCCCCAATATAACACGGACATTCCACCATTTTAACGCGGGTATTTCCCACATTTTATTTCTGTACTGTGGAATTTATAATGATTTGTGCATGTCGATTATGTTGATTTGTTTTGTACAGTTCATAATTAATCTTTTTGGTTCATATTCATAAGCTTTTTATATAGAATATTCATAGTTTTGTTATGATTTTAATAAAACATACTTATTTTTTTATATAAACTATTTTATAAATATTCTAAATATTTATATAAAAGTTTTTTAACCTATATAATACAATAAACTATATATTATGTAGTGACACCTCATCACATCACATATAACGCTACAGTGGTGATATAACCACCGCGCTACATCATAGAGTCTGTATTGGACCTACACGAATAAAGATATTTTGTTTTCCACAGCTCCACAACCGTTGCGTGGGAAGCGCTGGCGGTGCCTGTACCCTGGGAGCTCACTCGAAGCACATACTGCCGCCTACAGCCATTCGACCGCTAGTATTAGATCGGCAGCGGTCGTTACCACACCGACCTCAACAAGATCAGGTATATTGAAAGTACTTGTACTGTTTAGGGGCCTTCGGATGGAAAGGGGGGCCCCTCCCCCCTTCGCCAAATATCACAAGGGGGAGGGAGGAGTAGTTGGGTCGTTTTAACCTCCAATTACAGTATGGAATAGAACAGAACAATCTTTATATTAAATAAACTTATATTTAAACACTTTTGTATACTCATACTTACTTTTTTAATCTACCGCTCATTCGGAATGTCTTATCAAAAGAAGAACGAGCAAGTAACATGCGTGTTGCTCTTTCAGACGTAACGCTATCTCATATTCTTCCAGCAATCTCTTCCAACATCAATATCACTGCCTATCTCCATCTCCGCGCCTCCAGAAGACAAGAAAGAGGAGAGAAGAGAACATAGAGCACCTCCCATCTCATTCCAAATAACTCCTCCTGATGGGACGTGTCCTTTGTTAGTGTTCATCAACCCGAAGTCTGGTGGGAGACAGGGATCCAGGATAATGAGGAAACTGCAGTATATATTGAATCCTCGGCAGGTGCATGATATAGCGAAAGGTGGACCCATGCAGGGTAAGATATTTTTGTATACAACTTCAAAATTCTAAACACACTTTCATTAAGTATAAAACTCAGTAACCTCTTGTCTATTTATTTAGTTTTTCTTTTTTATGTCTTTTATTTATATTATTAACCTGGTCTTTACACTAATAATACCGTGGTCACGAGCTGACAGTCAGCTCGTGACCACGGCTAGTGCAACCTAGTCGAAACATCGAGATAGGTAAATACCTTTAATTGCAATAAAATTATTCGTATTAAGACCTGGTTAATTTTATTTATTTCTTTCAAATTTTATAAATTTTCTTCTCTACTAGCCAATATTTTGGTGTGCAAAGATACTCGTAAGTGGTTTAGTTTTTAAAACAAATTATATAATTTTATAATAATCGTATATTTAACATATTTATAAGTATAAGACTATAGATATCATAATCTACTTCTTCCTTATCCCATTTACTTGTGGTCGGCGTAATATGTTTTGCTCTTCCATTCATCCCTGTTCTCAGTCATCTCTATATTTACACAGTTCATCCATCTCTTTCGGCCTTCCTCTGCGTTTATAACCAACCACATTCACTATACATATATGTAGAAAAATATAAAAGTAATAACAAAATATGTATAGAAACCTTACCATTATATATTATAACATACATATTTTATGAAGACTTTGTATAAAGTTGTCTGCTGCTAAACAGATTGCTGCTGCGTCTTGTGAGAAGTGACAGTGAAAATACAGGATACAGAGGCATATATTATAAAATGATATGTCCCTCTGTAATGACAACGCATTCGTGGTATCACGGGCGTCAAATGATAACGTGATATCCGTAGTGCTGTTCGTGTATATGGGCCACGGTTGCCACTTACCATATCTGGTGGGCCGTCTCTTCAAGTTTAATAAAAAAAACATTTTTCAGGTCTACAAATGTTCAAAGATGTCAAAAGCTATCGAGTTATATGCTGTGGTGGTGACGGTACCGTCGGATGGGTGCTCGAGACGATGGGTAAGATCTATCTATATAATAGTACAACTCAAAACAGCGACACCTAGTACCAAGCTAATCAGAACTTGTGTTATGGGTACTATAGACAGAAATATTTTCATGTATTTCTAACTATAGATAGAAATGCATGAAACATATTTAGTAAACACATATATTTACTAATATTATAAATGCGAAAGTAACTCTGTCTGTCTGTCTCGCTTTCACGCCAAAACTAATGAACCGATAGTCCCTGAGAGTCCCTGAGAAAGAACATAAGCTACTTTTTAAACCGAAAAAAGGTTGAAAGGGGTGATGAAAGGTTATATGGAAGTATCGACAATTTACGCGGACGAAGTCGCGGGTATATCTATACATATAGACAAATAAAAAAATATATACACCTATATACATATTTTTTCTGTATTAATCTATTTAATATAAAAAATTATCTCTGATCAACGCGTCGGTTGACTGGTAGAGAATGCCATCAGGCATTAAGTCCGCCATGTATACAATTTTGTGTGCAAAAGAATAAATAAATAAATAAATAAATAAAAAATTACCTTCGCCTATAGACAGAACTTTATTTATATTTAATCGAAACTAAAGCTGTGTGCTAGACTACTGAGGACGTCGCTTAGTAAAAAATATATTTTTTTAATATTGGTTTGTTTTTTTTCAGATAAGGTTCAAATGGAGGCGCAGCCGGCTGTGGGAGTAATACCACTTGGTACTGGCAACGATCTGGCTCGATGTCTCAGGTGGGGTGGCGGGTGAGTATGGAATTACTCGATTATGTGTTGCCATCTTAATTTTAATTCCCCAGAAAGAGAGAGCAATTGCCTTCGTATATAATAATAATCATTTATTCAGCATTATAGTACAGAGCAAAAAAGAAATTTTAAAAACTAATATTTCGCTATGAGCTAAAAGGGCCTCAGCTGGTGCCCCAGCGTATCACTACAGAGCTGATTTTCAGTGGAGCCACTTGAAAAAAAAGAAATAGCTTTCTTGATGAATTTAAGTATATAAAATGAAGATTGAGTTAAATGGATAAATTATGTAATGATAATATGTGTAATAATTATTTCAAACCAATTTTAAAAATTGTTGACGATCCATATTTTGCTTGGTAAGATATTTCAGAAATATTATTGAAATTTTTATTGCCGTACCTCCTTAATTAATGACTAGTGGCCCGCCGCGGTTGCGCCCAGATACTCCTGATGTTGTGAATTTTGTATATACATTCTTTGTGGTATAAATTATTTTTGGATGGGTCCACCCTTATCACCTACGGATGTAAAAATAGCCTACGCCTAAATCTATTCGCTATATATATCTGACTACATAAAATACACCAAAGTTTCATAAAAATGAAGGTAAATCCGTTTGAAAGGAGATAACAAATACTGTAACACGAGGTTTCATATATTATATAGCCTGTCTGTTTGAAATAATACACCTTTAAAACAGTGAAGGAAATTCTGAATATTTTTTTTTAATTATCATGTTTAATCATATTCAACCCATTTTGACCTTACTTTTACTAAAAAAATCTAAATATTCTTGCTTGTTTTTCTTCTGACGAGTCCGTTTTAACTTTTGGGAGGACAAATGACTACTCGTTTACAAGAGTTCGGTAATAGACTGCATTAATTACTACAGATTGCGACTTATATTGACTACAGTAGAATAAAAAAAAAATATGTCACTATTCAAAAGTGTGATTTGAATAAAGATTTTTTCTATTCTGTTCTTGTCGCGTCTGTTCAATTTTACACCGACCACAACTACTCCTATATTTCTATTCTATAACAATAATTTCTGAATAAGATTAGAACACGATTCCGTCTAATAAAGAAAAGGCGTGATATATTTGACCAAGATAGTAGACAGCACTGACTTTTGAAGAACGATGAGCTGCTCTACTATTCACGTGACTGATTGCAAGATTTTTAATAGGAAAAAATAAGACAACACACACTAGTTGCAAGGAATAGAATTTTTATTATGAATAAATAAAATAATTATACTAATTTCAGTTACGAGGGGGAATCGATCCACAAGATCTTGGATAAGATCTCTCGCGCGAGCACCGTCATGATGGACCGCTGGCAGATACATGTGGAGAACTCCACGGCAGAGGTAAGCATCGTTTATTTATGTTATTGGAATGTCAAGCTAACGAGGTCAATAAACCTTTAGAGGACAAGTGGAGAGGCGCGGAACTAACCGTCACTGTTCGGGGGTTTAATTCATATGCACCTAGTAATTAGGTACTCGGATGTCGTATGAATATACTAATTATCCTACCAAAGGTTCTTCAATAGAACCAAAGGGTTTTTATTAGTGGATGATAATGGAATGGTGCCTCCGCCTGCGCTAACGGCTTCCGCTGGCGGGGCACCAGTGGAGGATGATAAGATGAACATGAGGTCAGGTCAGTTAGCCCATCGTATCAAATTCACCAGGAATTCATCACGATGGTTTCCAAGGGGAACCGCGTGGAGGTCAACCTGTCATGGTACATTGCTAGTAATGGGGTCATGAGTCTACATTACTATCAATCAGCTTCCCCCCAGAACCAAAGGGTATACACGGGGAACCATGAGTAATAGGGAAATTTTGCATTGCAATGGAAAATTTCCCGTTGCAATAACCCAGGAAGATTATCCTGGTGCCACAAAATTAAGAGAGTCGACTCACATAAAGTTGGACGGTGCAAGGAAGATGAAGCTAAAGAGGTAGAGGACGTCCTCTAGTTACCTGATGAACCAGCTTGAGTAATTTTATGGCAATGAAAAAAGTGCCGTCCCAACAACCTAGGAAGATTGTTCTAGCACCGCAAAATTAGGAGAGTCGACCCCACATAAAGTGGAACATTGCTGCGAAGAAGAACAGAAGGAATGTCAAGCTAACGACGTAAAGAAGTAGTGGAATTCTTCCAGTTACCTGATGGACAAGCATTAGTAGAATCGCGATGTAAAAATTGCCCAACCCGTCAACCCAGGACTGATTATACTTGCGAAAAATTAGGAGAACCGACCCACGTAAAATGAGTGCCAAGAAAAAGAGAAGGAATGTCAAGTTACCTCATTAACATTTCTCAAGACATACACACAACCTCAGAAGACATTCTCCAGCTACCAGATGGACCAGTATGTGTTCTTATGGTGACAGAAAAATTCTCCGACCCATAAACCCAGGAAGATAGTTCTAGCGCCGCAAAATTAGGAGAGTCGACCCTACAAAAAGTGGTATGGTTCAAAGAAAAAGACAAGTAATGTAATAAAGAAAAATACCCAGACAGCAATAAACATATACGTATGAGAGTTAGTGACTATACGTGTATGTATGTATGTGCGAGTGTATATTGTATGCGTGTATGTATGGCCATACATTATGAAATCCATACGTAATGTTATTTTATAATTACAGTGTGAACAACTACAAATGCCAGATTCGGCGCCGCATCCAACGACGGTCCCGTATAATATTATCAACAATTACTTCTCCATCGGTGTTGTGAGTATAATTATATCATTATTCTTCTTCTTCTCTACCACTTTAGCAATGAAAGCGGCTCGCTCTATCAAATAATGATACATTAATATGCAGTGTAGCTAGGTATTTCGTATCCACATAAAGTTTCGTCACGACTTTCATCCTAAATGGGGTAAGCAGAATATTGACAGCACCATATGAACAATCAACGTCGTGACTAGTTATCCCTGGACAATTTACACAGCGCCATCTAGTCCCAAGCTAAGCAGAGCTTGTGTTATGGGTGCTAGATAACTGATAGGAGTATATAGATACATTGTTTTTGTAAATACATATATTATATACGTAGAATATACCCAGAACGATAAAAATAATCATACTCATGAATACAAATTTTTGTACCGTACTAGGAATCGAACCCGCGATATTTGGTTGTCAGACGGTATGCTTTACCGTTACACTACCGAGATCATCGGTATACAATAATTTATTTTCTAAGTTAGATATCTTAAGTATTCTGCAAATAAATTATTATATTTTGCTAAGGACGCAGCGATATGCGTGAAGTTCCACACAGAACGAGAACGGAACCCGGACAAGTTCAGTTCGCGGATGAAGAACAAGCTGTGGTACTTCGAGTTCGCCACCTCCGAGCAATTCGCCGCCAGCTGCAAGAACTTGCACGAGCATATTGACATTGTGGTAAGTCCTTTTTTTGTACCACGTAAGTGGCAAACAAGCATACGGCACATCTGATGGTAAACGGTTACCGTAGCCTAGGGACTTTTATACTACCATCTGTTACCGTCAACAAACGCCAGGATTAGTATATAAAGTCCTTTAAGCGGGTATATTAGATAATGGGGCCCCTATGACCATAATATTATAGCATATATTGTTAACAAAGTCATTTTTGACCATGCCTCTTTAGAAATGTATATGGGGATGCCCTACCTTCAAAACAAACCAGGCAAAATAATTTTAAAAAGTCGTTATGTGATGAGGGTTTCAAGTTACTAAACATTTATAAAAAATAATAAAAATAACGAACAAACGAACAGTCGGTAGGCATTTGTTGAGACAGATTTTCAGGCAGGAGTAGAGTAGCTATCGGTTATCGTTTGGTAATGGAGTAGGGACTAGACTAAATTGACCCAACCCATCGCGGGGCCCTGGGCACGTGCCTAGTGTACCCAGAGGGGAAGAGGGGCCTGGGTGTGTGTACATCTCACTCTAGGGTTTAGGTATATATGACCTACTTCATCGAGACCCAGGGAGCTTGAAATGATACAGTCAAGAGACAGAATACAAATGTGTAATTTTTTTTCGGACTACTGTAATGCTGTTGGTCGTAATAATATGCAAAACTTTATTTGTAGAAATAGAAATAGAAATAATCTTTATTCAAATAAACTCATTACAAGCACTTTTGAATAGTCATATTTTGATTCTACCAGTCATTCGGAATGCAGATTCATCACAAGAAGAATGAGCAAGAAACTTGTGTGTTGCTCTTTTTTATAGATGTTTTTTTTTTCATATAAATAATTACAGTATAACAAGTAAGAGGCATGCGATAATCAACATAGAAGTCGCTACGCACTCATTATTAATGTAATCAGATAATATTGTCAGTGCTATAGATTTAAAGTTTTTCTATAAAAACATTATTATTGTTAACGAATTCTTCAATTTTATAGTAAGCTTTTTTACAAAGGAACTGTTTTATTTGACATTTAAATCTTTTTTCTGGCAGATTTATAACAGACTCTGGTATTTTATTGTAAAACCTTACGCAATTGCCATAAAACGAATTACTAACTTTAGCCAAACGACATTTAGGTATTTTCATAAATGTATTAAGAAGCAACGGTGAGGATATTTGATTCGTTAAAACACTCTCGCAATGACTCCCTGGAACCCATACCATAAATGTATTAAACATATGAATACAAAAATGTAAAAACTTATGCGTATTTTAATGCAAATATTCGTAATCATGTTTCAACAAGTAACTCGTCAGAAAAAAAATGTTTCAGTTTAGTATATATGTATGTGTATTTAGTATTGATGAGACAGTAGAAAAAAAATTATTATGGAAATGTTTGGCGGACCGCATAAACTTGTTTAACGGGCTGCGTCTTAGGTAGGTCTAGGTTGCTATTTCAGTAGGTTCATTATTTTACACGACTTGATAAGAGAGTAATTGGAATTGCATAATAAATGCAATTTTTGTTTTATAATTTTAAAATTGTTTAAAAAAGACCACTCAGAAAGCGACAGTATCCCACTCTCCCCGAAGGGAGCGAACGATCATCGATGGCTGATGGTGAACCACCACCGCCAGTCTCACGCTCAGGACACCGCGCCACGTCTCCTCATCGTGGTTTGGTGTGACCTCACATATTGGGAGATCTGGTTGGAGAACTTACTATAGAAATGATCCTATGAAGTAAGGTCTTACCGTTCGCTCACAGCCGCAGCCGGGTCATTCTACGAGAAAAAATCTTAACAGCGCGTTGTAGAAAAATGTGATAATCTACTGCAGTGACATCTAGTTGTACATGAAGGAAACACTGAGTACATCGTTGGTGCTATACGTGGTGCTTCGCATACTAAGATAACTGATGCTTACAATTAAGTGCTTCCGCTGCGTGCGCTGCTTAAACGGATAAATTTACACAATAAATAAGTATGACTTATTTGTGGTATGGAGGAATTGTTAACCTTTAAAATTTCTTATATATTATTTCTTAGCTTAACTCCCTATAACCTTTTTTATTATAACATAATTTCTACTAAAATATTTGCTGCATTATTTGCGAAGTTGTTTTTATACACGTGATATTAATCCTTATCGAATAAATAAGTTATTTATTATAAGTAAACAAGATTTGAACAAAATTGTCCCTTACATCAAATGATGTCAAAGAACAGTCGAATATATCCACATATTATTAAAACAAATATTTCAAATAGTACCGTGCGAAACTAGGGCGAGTTGCTAGTTGACTATAATTCTAATGTCTCGCACATTATTAATTCGTTTTACTTGTTTGGTTTTTTCATACAAATTAGTTAAAAATAGGTCTTATGATATAAAGGATAATTTGTTAAAAATTAAATACTTATAATAAATAACGTATTTATTTGGATAAACATTAATATCACATTTATAAAAACAACTTTGCAAATATGCAGCAAATATTTTAAAAGAAACATCATTACCATAAAAAAGGTTACAGTGAGTTTATCTAAAACTTTTTTTAGAACGTTTAAAGGAGAACAATTCCGTCATATGTACATGTATATTTATTGCGTAACTTTAACCGAATATTTTTTGCCACATTTTTCATTTCTGCTCCGCTATTATTGGTCGTAGCGTTTTATTATCATATAGCCTATACCACGCTGGGATAATATAACTATAACTGTTAAAAGAATTTTTAAGATCGGATCAGTTGAATAGATTACCCCGACCAAATAAATATGCAAACCTTACGCCTTTATAATATTATATATTGACAGTTACTACTTTTACATTTAACAATTTAAGTTAATACAGATATTAATGATTTAATATATTACAAATGTAGTACAGCTGAAATACTAGTTCATAATTCGTAAATCGCAGCAAATTTTAAGAGTGAAACGTAACGTTAATGAAACTGTCACATCCACCATGCTACACCGCACATGGTATAGTACAGATATATTTAGCATAGATAAGATAATTATTTAGTAAGAATACGCTCTGCTTTATTTCACTGATGAAGCAAGCCCTAGAAATGTAAGATAACATTGTAATCATGCAGCAGCAGACATCTGAATAGTATGCGAAGCACCACGTATAGCACCAACGATGTACTCAGTGTTTCCTGCAACTTCAACTAGATGTCACTGCGGTAGATTATTAAATTTTTCTACAACGCGCTGTTAAGATTTTTTCTCGTAGAATGACCCGGCTGCGGTTGTGAGCGAACGGTAAGACCTTACTTCATAGGATCATTTCTATAGTAAGTTCTCCAACCAGATCTCCCAATATGTGAGGTCACACCAAACCACGATGAGGAGACGTGGCGCGGTGTCCTGAGCGTGAGACTGGCGATGGTGGTTCACCATCAGCCATCGATGATCGTTCGCTCCCTTCGGGGAGAGTGGGATACTGTCGCTTTCTGAGTGGTTTTTTTTAAACAATTTTAAAACTATAAAACAAAAAGTGCATTTGTTATAAGCCTACTCCAATCAGCTTACAAAACAACATTAAAATGTTTTGTATTCCGTAAATTAATATAAACTTACAATTACTACTTGATAATCACGAATTGATAATTACTTATCAATTCGTGTAAAATAATGAACCTACTAAAATAGCAACCTAGACCTACAAAACACGCAAACGGTCCACCAAGCATTTTTATACTTAAACATATTTTTTTCTACTTTTTCCCATTACTATATTGTTATAAAATAAATTATAATAAAATGGTAGTACATACTGTAGTCTCTAATATAATAAAATTAATTTTACCGCTATACTTTTTTATATATTTTAATTTTCATATTCATCTATACATATAAATAAAATTTGAGTGTCTGTTTGTAATATTGAAATAAACATTTTTTACTACATGTATATGAATATAAATGTGGTACATACATCAAAATAACAATTTTTGTCTGTCTGTTCCGGCTAATCTCTGAAATGGCTGGACCGATTTTGACGGGTCTTTTTTTGCCAGGTAGCTGATGTAATAAGAAGTAACTTAGGCTAATTTTATTTTAGGAAAATTGTTTTATTTTAGAAAATAAAGATAAATGCCACGCAGATGAAGTCGCGAGTACAGCTAGTTATACATAAAGTTTTGTGCATGAATTACGCATTATTAATTATACTGAAAAATGTTACATTTGGTTCGTTAATTAATAAAGTTGTACCCCTGTACTAGACAATATATATGGTATATGTTTTTTTGTATATGATTGTGAAATGGTGCACCCGCCTGCGCTAACGGTTTACGCTGGCAGGGCACCAGTGGAGGATGATAAGATGAGCATGAGGTCAGGTCAGTTAGCCCATTGTGATAAATTCACCTGGAGTTTATCACAATTGTTTCCAGGGAGAACCGTGTGGGGGTCAACCTGACAAGGTACATTGCTAGCAATGGGGCAAAGAATCCAAATTACTAAGAATCCTTGAATAACTGATATCCTTACTTCCTTACTAATATAATATTATAACTGCGAAAGTAACTCTGTCTGTCTATATCGCTTTCACGCCAAAACTACTGATTTAAATGAAATTTGGTACACAGATAGTCTAGACCCTGAGAAAGGACATAGACTACTTTTTAATGCGAAAAAGGGTTGTAAGGGGTTGACATTGGGGATTAAAGATTGTATGGAAAAATCGTCATTTTTGAAGCTAGAAGCTTGAAATTTATTTGAGAGGCTGCTAACTAAATATATATAAATATGACATACAAAGTTTTTAAAACTTCTACCCTTAAGGGGGTTAAATAAATTAGGGGATATTTTTTTTATGTAAATTCGTCATTGTTGAAGTTCGTATTTTTGAGGCCGTTGATTAAATATAAATAAATATGACATTCTAAGTTTGTAAAAATTTTACCCTTAAAATAAATTAGGGGATGAAAGTTTTTATGTAAATTCGACTTTTTTGAAGCTAGAAACTGATTTTTGAGGCTGTTGATTAAAACGTAAATAAAAGTGTCGTATAAAGGCAGCTATTGACGTGTCGTATAAAGACAGCTATTGACGTGTCGTATAAAGACAGCTATTGACGTGTCGTATAAAGACAACTATTCACGTGTATATAGGTAGCTATTGACGTGTCAGATAAAGGTAGCAATTAACAAATCATTTAAAGGTAGTTATTGACGTGTGGTATAAAGACAGCTATTAACGTATCGTATAAAGACTGCTATTGACGTATCGTATACAGACGGTTATTTATGTGTCGTATATAGGTAGCTATTAATCGCGGGGCCCTGCGCGTGTGCCCAGTGGGGAAGAGCGTGAGTATTCAAAACCTGACCAAACCAGTCCCCACCCGTGTCGTATAAAGACTGCTATTGACGTATCGTATAAAGACTGCTATTGACGTATCGTATACAGACGGTTATTTATGTGTCGTATATAGGTAGCTATTAACGTGTCGTATAAAGACAGTTATAAGGGGTTGAAAGAGTTACGAAAGAGTGTATGACGAAGACGAACAGACGAAGTCGCGGGTACAGCTAGTATAGCATATATTGTTAACAAAGTCATTTTTGAACATGCCTCTTTAGAGATGTATATGGGGATGTCCTACCTTCAAAACAAACCAGGCAAAATAATTTTAAAAAGTCGGGTTCACATTCTTGCTAGACATTTATAAAAAAATAAACAAAAACGAACAAATTGACCATAGTCGGTAAACATTTGTTAAAACTGATTTTCAGGCGAGAGTAAAGTAGCTAGCTATTTTTTTTTTGTGGATGATAATGGAATGGTTCACCCGCCTGCGCTAACGGTTTACGCTGGCGGGGCACCAGTGGAGGATGATAAGATGAGAATGAGGTCAGGTCAGTTAGCCCATAGTGACAAATTCACCAGGAATTTCACACGATGGTTTCCAGAGGGAACCGCGTGGAGGTCGACATGACATGGTACATTGCTAGCAATGGGGTTATCAATCCACATTACTAACAATCCTCTTCCCCCCAGTAGCAATCGGTTGTCGTTTGGTAATGGAGTAGTGACTAGACTAGACTAGTGGATCCCAATCCATCGCGGGGCCCTGGGCGCGTGCCCCGTGGGGAAGAGGGGCTTGAGCATTCAAAACCCTACCAAACCAGTCCCCACAAACCTTAATATTTATGAGTTTACGCATGTAGGCAGGGTAGTGTAGAAGCACCATGTAGTATAGACTTTTTTTATGTGTATGATAATGGAATGATGCACCTGCCTGCGCTAACGGTTTGCGCTGGCGAGGCACCAGAGGACGGTAATAAAGATGAACATGAAGTCAGGTCAGTTAGCCCATCGTGACAAATTTACCAGGAATTTATCGGTAGTATAGACTATGGTTGGCTAATATTTGATGTCGCATTAAAACAGTGTGACGGTTCATCGTTGGAGCTGAACAAGGGTCCAGCGCTGCAGGGGGTAGCGCTGCTGAACATCCCTTACGCGCACGGCGGCTCCAACCTGTGGGGGGCGAGTGGGGCACACCGTAGGGGTCGATTTCCTAATGCCCAACAAGGTATTTTCTCTCTCACTTTTTCTTTTTTTTTTAATATTTGATATGCCATGTACAAACTTGATGTTGAAGTTTGATCTTGATACAAATATAAACAAGAAAAATAGTAATATTCTAATGAGAAGGATGTAGTTGTATATTCTATGTATAATATGTATGTATTTACGAATAAAAAAGATGTCTACGTATGTATTTGTATCAGTTGTCTAGTACCCATAACACAAGCTTTAGCCAGCTTAACTTGGATCTAGATGGTGCTGTGTGAATTGTCCTGAGAATATTATTATTATTATAAGACAGAGACATTTAGGAAGATGGGTTATCTGCCCAGAAAAAGAATGATTTTATATAAAATGTTGACCCGTAAACGTTGTTTTACGATATAAATTAAAATCGCTATTAAAAAATAGGGGTTGATAATAGAAGCATAAAAATTTAGGGTTGTATGTATTTTTTAATGCCACACTATAAAATATTGCCCAAAAATAAAAAGTACGCTGTTAGGGGTGGACAACCCTTATCGCTTAGTGGTATGAAAAATAGTTAGTCCAAAGTTAAGCTAGATTAAGGTTGTGTTATAGGTACTGGATAACTGTCACAAATACATAAATATACGTATATTTTTTAAGTAAATACACAAAATTTTTTCAAAGAAACCACCCACTCAGACCGACACAAAAAATTGTACTTATTAATACAAATGTTTGTGTCGTGCGAGGAATCGAACCCGCGACCATCGGAAGTAGGGCGGTGTGCAAAACCGCAAGACCACCGAGACCGTCAAATACCTTATGATTATTGTTTTTTTACAGATATTGGAGATAAACTAATAGAAGTAATAGGTCTAGAAAATTGTCTGCACATGGGCCAAGTCCGAACTGGTAAGTTCGCACATCAATTTGAAATGAATATATTATTCTATATTGGGTTACATGATTTTGTTCTGCAAATATACTTTTGTACCTACTCTCTTGTTATACTCATTGTATGTTTATACACGATGATAATAATAATATAATAATAATCTTTATTTGTCTCAAATAAAATTTAATATAATTTCTGCTTACATAATAATAAAAATGAAAAGTAATAAACGAGACAAAACGACAAAACTCAGAGGAGAGGAAGTCCACTCTCTCAGCTATATTGTTATACCTTTTATCAGTAAATTAATACAATAAGAGATCAACGATGACGATAGCACTTAAGTTCTAAACTACTAATAACAAAGTAAACATAAAAATGGACAATAACTCAACAAGATTACAAAGTAATAGAATCTAAAACTTATTCAAGATTATTTAGAAAATTAAATAAAAACTAGAAATTATAATAGTGTAATACTATTATGTATAAAATATATACATATATATAGTGTATGTAAATGTTTATATTTTTAGGAACACAATACTTTTTCATTGATTTATATAAGCTGGCGGGGCCAGTGGAGGACGATAAGATGAGCATGAGGTCAGGTCAGTTAGCCCATGTGGCAAATTCACTATGATGGTTTTCAGGAATGTAAACGTATCTCTGGTTTAATATGGTCTATGTTGCTATTTCAGTAGATTGAGTATTTTACACGAATTAATAAATATTACAGTAAGTACATGAAAATATATTCAGTTTAAGGAATCCTTTAAAAAGTTAAGTTCGTGAATTTGTTTTATAATTTTTAAAAATATTTAAAAAAAGACCACTCAGAAAGCGACAGTATCCCACACTCCCCGAAGGGAGCGAACGATCATCGATGGCTGATGGTGAACCACCATCGCCAGTCTCACGCTCAGGACACCGCGCCACGTCTCCTCATCGTGGTTTGGTGTGACCTCACATATTGGGAGATCTGGTTGGAGAACTTACTATAGAAATGATCCTATGAAGTAAGGTCTTAGTGTTCACTTTCAACCGCAGCCGGGTCATTCAACGGGAAAAAATCTTAACAGCGCGTTGTAGAAAAATGTAATAATCTACCGCAGTGACATCTAGTTGTACATGAAGGAAACACTGAATAAATTATTGGTGCTAAAAGTAATGCATACTATTTTGATACAAGTCAACCAGAAGAGGTACATTGCTAGCAATAGCGTTCCCCCCATTTTTTTTTATAATTACCTACGTCCTTTATTACCCATTAATAATTGGAGTTCTCATATAGGCCTTCGAGCGTCAGGCAGACGGCTGGCGCAGTGCAGCTCAATCACAATCACAACGAAGAAAACATTCCCAATGCAGATAGACGGTGAGCCGTGGATGCAACCGCCTTGCAAAGTAATATTATAAACCAAGACTGTATTAATATTTTAATTTATGTTTCGTTATTTTCTATATATCTTACTCCTTAAAGTAGGTATATATGATATGGGCCAATATCTTATATATAAAATTCTCGTGTTACAGTTGTCGTTCCCATACTCCTCCGAAACGGCTTGACCGATTCTCATGAAATTTTGTGAGCGTATTGATTAGGTCTGAGAATCGGCCAACATCTATATTTCATCCCCCTAAATGGGGGTAGTCCATCCCTAAATTTTTATTTTTTATTTTAAGGCAAAACAACAATTGCCGGTTTAAGTATAAAAATATAAAGTTGCTTGAAATAAATAAATAAAAAATACTATTAATATTGGCCCATATAAAATAGGTACAATAATATTAATAACACTGGACAATTCACACAGCGCCATCTAGTCCTAAACCAAGGAGAGCTTGTGTTATGGGTAGGTACTAGACGACTGATATAGATACTTAGATACATTTTTTTTTGTAAATACATTCTTAATATACATACATATATACATTCTTAGTAAAACAAAAAATGTATAACCGACGAGAATAGATAGAGCATTGTTTCTATCTTCATAATTTCTTTCATTTAAATCGGCTCAATAGTTTTAGCGTAAAAGCGGGATAGACAGACAGAGTTATATTCACATATATCATATAAGTAAGGATTAATATATAATTATTATTACAGATAATAATAACCCACAAGAACCAAGTTCCGATGTTGATGGGACCAGCGCCGGAGAAGGGGCGAGGTTTCTTCAAGTTATTCACTCATTGTTAACCTCTTTATTAATTATATGATGTATTATTATTTATTTTTGTTCTAAACTTATAAACAAGCATACGACCCATCTGATGGTAAACGGTTACCATAGCCTATAAACGCCTGAGACACCAAGGATATCACGTCATCGTTGCCGACAAAATTATCCTTCTATTATTGAAATTAGGCTTTTATCAAGGGGACCTCTGAATTATTTATAAAATTTAATTATTATATAATTAATTATTTTGAACTATATTAGTAAGTATATAAATAAATTTATTATAATTATTACCAAAGTACTTAATTGTTAAAAGCGTGTAACGTTAAAGTTTAAATTAAGTATAATGTTTATTAAAATATATTAATTTGTTTACATTATTTATTATACAAGACTTATATAGGGAAGCTCCTAGTCACAACTATGTAGTATTAAATGTATTGCTTTAGAGTTACAAATATGTTTACTTCCTGTAATTAATATGAACAAAGAAATAAAGATTATTCTATAATTCTTTATTCATATTCTTTAATTATAAATATTGATTAAATAATATTTAATTAATATTTATAATTATTATTAATAAAATAAACATTATTTACTTTATAACAATAATATAAAACCCATATTGTGCAGAAGGAGTTTGTAACCAAAAGATAAATCTTTTTTACTATAATAGTAAAAAGAGACAGAAATGTTTAGTTACAATAATATAAACAATTTTGTACCAATATCGATATATATCATTTTCGAACATTTTAAAATTTTTTTGTTGTGAATTATTTATTTTTGTTCTATAATAATATTTATTTTTGTTCTATAATAATATTTATTATTGTCTCCACAAAGCATCGACAATATTAACAGTGTAATAGTCTTTTGGGCATGTAACAAATACCAAATTTGTTGAAAAATGACAACTGTTCGGGCTATCTGAAGAACTTATGTCCTGGATTATCAAATTCTGTTCTTCGTATTTTGATAATGAATATTAAAAATTTTCTATGACATCAAATTGTTAGTATACAAATATTAATTCTGATACAGTCTAGTGTATATAAAAATAATCGAAATATAAGTACAAAACCTATGTAATATATGTTCGAATTCATAAAAATTCTACTATTATTTAAAAAATATTCGATAATTATAATAAATTATTAGAGAAATAAGTGATTATTATTTTTGAAAATCGTTACTTAATTTTCTCATTATTCACTAATGCCGGTAATAAGTTCCTAAAAATTACAGTTTTATATTTATTAAGATGTGTAAAAATCTTGTTTCGTCAATCACAGATCATGAAATTTTTAACTAACGTCCAAAAAAATAAATATATAATCGTTTTATCTACAATACTATTGTTTTTATGTTTATATTCGTGAACCGTAAGATTGCAAAACGGGAGTTTAAACTCTTTGACAGATTGTAAACTGTCAATAAATTGTAAACTAGACTTTACTGAGTATAATATATAACGTATTTTCGATTTACAGTCCATCCATGTTAAACCGTCAAATTGAGAAGTACATAATATGATAGTACTTAATAGTCCAAGAAGAAGAGTCTCAGTGTCGTCAGACATTACTTTATTTCTTTTTAATGGCTTGGCACTTGGTGCATTTGCCAAATATAATTTGGGAAACTGTAATGCAGACTTCTTTTCTGGCGAATGAAACGTCGGTGTCATAACATTACCTGCTAATTTGTACAGTGATCCGTTTCTCAGTTATCTAGTAAGGAAAGTACGTATAAAACCCTGCTAACTTCTTTTATTTTCTGACTGATTACATATTGGTATGTTACAGAATATCTGACGGACCTGAGATATTGCTCTTTACTCGTAAATACGACAACGTTAGCGATATTAGTCGTTATTTAGAGGTTAGGTAAACTATGGTGTTTCATTTAGAGCTGATATAATTATTCCAATTCTAACAGCGCTCGTATAAACTCCTTGTTCAAACAGTAATGTATTTTTTATTAATGCATATTTTTAAAAATATTGGCATAATGCCATACGAAATTTTACCATATATCTCAAAATAAATGGGATATTATTTTTATATTATATTTTGTTTTTTTTTAATATTGATTGACCAGATGTTATAACCATATCAATATATAAACTCTAAACAAAAAAACTCATCGGATTAAGCGGTAATCAAACTTAATATTAATTAGGATTCCAGACTATATAATTACATACGACTATATTTTATTAATAAAAACAGTTACTCAAAAATTACAAATCTTGAAAATTACACTTTAAAAGTCGCCTATCCTAAATTTTAATTAAGTTACTTGATTAGTATGCTTGCTATATGTACAATATGTTTTCTGTATTAGGATCATATTCAATTTCTAGGATGCATTATTTAAATTTCCATTGTAGCATTGGCCTATCAATTATTTGGTCTTAATTTAATAGTCAACACAAAATAGACTGCACATAAAAATCCCTTACGTGGATTTGAGCACAGCCTTATGCTTGTACCAACATAAAATAAACGTCCATTTTGCTAATGTAGTGCATATACATTTGTAAGACTTTATTTCTAGTAATAAGCTAGATTTGCACAAATACATAGCGACTAACTAGAGATATTTGTTTAACACTGTAACATTCTTATTCATAAGAACGTTAAAACAGATTTTAGTTACCGCTCTATTTTGAGATTATACTTTCAGATATTATCGTAATTCTATGTGTGTACTGACTATCCAGAAGAAATTATTATATATCTACCTAATTTTATAGATACTGACAAAACACAACGGCTAAAATAAGTTTTTAGTTTTTATGAATAAAGTGTTAAAGAATTTTTGTAAAATAAATGCTTTACTTTTAGATCCTAGTAATTTTGCTCATAATATACATATATACACACATACTTGCAACGTACATGCAAATACTTTCCATATTTACGTCTAGAAATACTAGTTACCAGACATAATAGTGTAGGACTTAATAACAGGTAGTTAGTGAAAATTTTACCCCATCCCTATAAAATTAGAAGAAGAAATGATGCAGTATAAATTATTATTAAAAAGTTTAAAAATAAATACTTTTGTGTTAGACAATAAAATTGTCGTAAAGTTCTGCCATAATATAAATATATTATATAAAAATAATGATAAAAATAAATAAAAATATCACTATTTTGCTGTTCATGCATTGTTATCTGAAACTTAATGATTAGCAAATAGGATTATTAGAGTAACCTAGTACTTTGTTAATTTGCATGATTACTTGAAAAACAGTAGTGTATTGCGTCAGAATTATTCATAATAATTCTGACGCCCTACACTTGTATTATTATTACTTTCATTGTAACGTACCTTTTTATTCTAGATTCAATTAAAAAATGAAGTTACACATGCAATTGTATTTTAGCTACAAATAGATGTACCTACTTCATAATATATTACGTAGCTAAAATGTTTAAGATGAATCATTTTATTTTACATAATAAATAAGTAGAAAAATTAATGATAATATACGAATTATTAATTTATGTAAATTATTAGATATTTTTATTATTAAGTATTATCAAAAGATCTTGTATACATTATTAGAGTTATAGACGTATAGGGATGTAGTTAATTTATTTTAATATTGACTTATCTGAAGATAATGAATGGCGTGCCGTTTTACATAAATACAACAGATTTTTGTAGCAGTACAAACAGAATTTAATTATCAATTTATCGATTAATTTAATATAAATCAATTAATTATATAAAAGAGATTCATGCAAACATATATATAATTTTTAATTACAAAATAAAATAAATTAAATAATATATTGTATATCACAATAATATTAGTATCGCGACGTAAATGTAATGATAATTAAAAACAATGAAATAATATCATTATCGTGCCAACAAATAAGGAAAACGTCCTAATATTCCAAAGCCAGCCAATTTGTAAATATTTTTCTATCGGATTTTTAAATCCATTTATAAATAAATGAAATAGGTTTATCATTAGAATTTATATATAAATACAACGCCGCACATGCTAATTGCATTTAGATTATTATTTTTATGTGATTTTTCTGATTATATATATATTATGTCTTTTAATTGAATAATAATACCAAATATCTGTATTTACAGATGTCTGAGTATGCATTGATGTCTTATTTATATAGATAATATCATATTATTCTAATAATTGATGAAGTAACACTGAACTTGTCAGCTTGAACTGTATTATCGAAATTTATATTAATTAATTATAATTTAATTAAATTAATTATATGAGTATACAAATAGTTATTATTGTTTTAAATAATTACCTTATATTTTTACAAAAATTAAAATGGAGATTTGTGTTATATTATAATATTAACAGCAACTTCGTTTTATTTTACGTTAATAAACTATATGATATAAATTTCTTAGTAAATCAAGTAGTAGGGTCAACACCTACTTTATTTTATCATAAGATTATTACGTTGTAATATTATAATATAAAAAGACAATTATCGGGGTTTACTAAGTCATGTTTATTAACAATACTGACACATCGAAATATTTATAACGAACAAAATGTTTGAAATTTATTATTTAGACATATTACTGCAGTTTTTATATATATTCACAGACATGTTTATTAAATGAGACTTTATTTTAATTGCATGACAGTAAAACATTTAATTATATATTGAGTATTATAATTTATTAATTAAACTTTAATTACAAATTCATTAAAATTAATAATTTATTTCATTATTACCGTTATATAATTATTATATCGGATTAATAATAAGTGATGCTTAATGCATAGTTCGATGTACCTACATGTAGATATTTAATTTATTATTTTAATTTAATTGTATTGAAATAAAATTGTTAAATGTTGTTAATCATTGACGGTGTGTTCATATTAGGTAACTTTATCATGAATGCATTTTATATTATTTTTAACCGACTTCAAAAAAAGGTTCTTAATTCAGTTGTATTTTATCACTTATATTACCTTAGAACTCCGTCTAACTAGATATTA